CAGGTGTGCCTGAGTACATGCAGAGCTGTAGTTAATCATTCTGGCATCTGGACCGATCAGCGGAAACACACACTGAAATTCAGGAGCACACCAGCTCCTGAGTGGAGGAGTGCAGAGAAGGGAGACAACTCTTTCAGCTGCACAGGAGCCTCCAACAACTGAGCTCTGCGTCCTTGCCAGTGTACGTTCTAGGTCATTCACCCTGGCCAAGTGTAGAACACAAACCAGCCAACACTTCTAGAGAAGCCTTGGTCCTGAAAGTGGAGGAGGGGAGAAGGCTTGAAAATCTGTAATCTTTTGGAAAATCATTCTTTTAAAATGTTGACCTTCCTCTATATTTTTGCCCCTGGACCACTAGTGAGTTCAGTTTATTAACACTCTAAATGTAGACATGCATATACGTGTGCTGGTGGTGTGTATTTCTGCATGTGCACATGCACGTATGTGTGCTGGTATTATGTGTTTCTGTGTAGCTGAACAGGTATTTGGGATAACAGTGTGCAGAGTGGTCAGCACTAATATTCCCCCGCTCCTCTGTCCCCTCCAGGGGCTAAGCCCTCCCACTATACCCATCTCCACTGCTCTTATGAAAAACAGAGGCTGGAATGAGCTGCACATTAGGCCCGAGTTCCTTCATATTCGTGACAGACTGAAAATATACTGACCGCAACACGACAGACAGAAATAATATGCTCACATTCACCTCCATCCCATAAAGCGAGTGGAACCTGGGCCCATTGCAGTGAATGAGCTTCAATAATTCATCCCAGCTGCTGATGTGGTATTGACATAAAGCTAATTTAACACTGGAGGAGCCAGGGAAAGTAAGGAGCAATTACGCCTTCACCTGCGGCATGGTCTTTCAGCTAGCTCGGATACTGCACCGGAAGCCAACTCCCAAAATAGGAAAAGTGCTAGGGAGGTCATTGGCCCCTTCTCTTCTTGAATGCAGTTGACTTTCTGAAGATGCGTTTGGGTTTACCTTGCTCATTGTCTGTGTACACATACATTCATATGCACAGGTAGAGGTTAGAGGTCAGTCTCAGATGTCATTCCCCAGGAGCTGTCCATTTTGGGTTTGTTTGTTTGTTTGTTGTTTGTTTGTTTGTTTGTTTTGAGACAGGGTCTCTCATTGGCTTGGAGCTTGGTCAATAGGCTAACCTGGCCAGTGAACCCCAGGGAACTACTATCTCTGCCTTCCCAGTTCTGGGGTTATACATGTCACCACATCCAGATTTTTTAATGTGCATTTTGGAATCATACTCAGGTCCCATGCTTGCAAGGCAAACATTTTACTGACATGTTATCTCCCATCTTCCCCTGACATTTTTTGAGACAGGATCTCACACAGCTCATACGTTTTTTTATGTGTGTTAGTGCCATGTTTGAGCGTGTGTGTAAGTGTGTAAACATGTATGTAAGTACATGTGTGTGCAAATGCATGCGCACATGTGTGCATATATGTAGAGACCCAAAGTTGGAGGCAGATGCCTTCCTTGATCACTCTTCACTTTATTTATTAAGGCAGAATCTCACTGAACCCAGAGCTCACTAGTTCCTCCAAGTACATCTACCTAGCTTGTCCTGTGGTTCCCCTGTCTCTGCCTGCCAAGTGCTAGTATTACAGGCAGACTGCCATGCCTGCCCAGTGTTTACATGCATTCTGGGGATCCAAACTCCTGCCCTCATGCTTGTATAGCAAGTATTTTGCTCATTGAGCCATCTCCCCAGACTTATCTTTGAACTTCTTATCCTCCTGCCTTTACCTCCCAGGTTCTGGTATTGCAGGCATGTGCCATCATACCTGGCATGTTGACAGTATTCTTTTATTTTTTTAAGATTTATTTATTATGTATACAGTGTTCTGCCTGTATTTATCCATGCAGGCCAGAAGAGGGGACCATATCTCATTATATGATGATTATGAGCCACCATGTGGTTGCTGGGAATTGAGCTCAGGACCTCTGGAAGAGCAGCCAGTGCTCTTAACCTCTGAGCCATTTCTCCAGCCCCTGTTGTCAGTCTTCTTGAACAAAGACTGCCACTTCTGCTTCTAGACTTTTTAATAGCCAAAAGAGATGTTTCTTTAAGATTTCTTCCTTCCTTCCTTCCTTCCTTCCTTCCTTCCTTCCTTCTTTTCTTTTCTGAGACATAGCTTTTCCGTGTAGCCCTGGCTGTTGTGGAACTCACTCTGTAGACCAGGCTGGCCTCAAACCCAAGAGATCTGCCTGCCTATGCCTCTAAAGTACTGGAATTAAAGGTGTGTGCCACCACCGCCTGGCCCAAGAGATGTTTCTTATATTAGATAGATCAAGGTATGTCCTGTCTCTCTTTGCACAGAATACAACCTCTAACACTTTCCGTGGGGTACAACAAATGGACAAGTGAGGCTGGAGACAGAGGAAGCTGTGGCCAACATCTTAAATGATGTCCGACATTCCGTTTCTTTATCCTCAAAAACAAAAATCAGATCTGGGTTGTACTCAGTGGCAGAGCAGTTGCCTAGAATGCATAAAGGCCCCAGCTCAATCCCTAGAATTCCAAAAAGTTAAATAAAAGCCACTCATCTGACATCACAGAGATGCTGAAATTCTTATTTTCAATTATTTAAAAAATATGGAAAGGGCTAGTGTAACATGAGGGCCGGCTTGTTGGGGTTTCTGTCCAGCCCAGTACCCCAACAGCCGGCAAGCAACAAAGAAAAATCACGCACAAGACTCCATAAGGTTATAAACTGATTGGCTCATTAGGTCAGGCTACTTATTAGCTCTTATAACTTATGTTACCCCATTATTCTTATCTACGTTAGCCACATGGGCTCATTACCTTTCTCAGTGTGACAGCTTACATGTTGCTTCTTCCGTGGTCTGCACAGGAATGGCAGAGGAACCTCTCTGCTTCCCAGAATTCTCCCAGTCTCTTTGCTCCACCCCTACTTCCTGTCTGGTTTTCCCGCCTATACTGCCTGCCTGGCCAATCAGCGTTTTATTAAAATATGATTGACAGAATACAGATAATTCTCCCGCACCATTTCCCTCTCTCTTTTTTTTTTTTTAAACAAAGGAAAAATACCCATAATCCATTTGTTGGGAATGTGGGCGTAGTATTTCAGGCTACTTCCTGCTGGTTGGGGGCGCTGATAGTCTTAAGGGGACCTAAAGAAAATGTAGAGTTATAGTCAAGTCCTGACTGAAGTATCCTGGGAGTCTTGATCATCTCAGGCAGCAGTCTTGAATCAGTTCTGGATGTAGAACTCTGTCATCTGGGCCATCTGTTTCTGTCGATTTCTCAGGTGGCCTCCCTTGGTCAAAGATGATTTTTCTTAACTCTGAATAAATCCATAGCCTCTCATTTTCTGTGGAAACAAAAGCAGAATCTCTTCTCCAAAGTAACATACCTTTTGACTTCAGTTTTGAAGCCAAGGTATTTTCAAAATGTCTATCTTGGGTTAGTTCAGCAGCATTTATAAACAAAAGTCTTTTGGTGACTGTTGCTCCTTCCTCAGCATTCAAACAATTAAAAGAGAGCATAATAGCATACAGTATCAAGATTCTCTGTGTATTTTCCATCTTTATGCAGCTTTATTTTACTTCTATTTCTTTTATTTTTACTTTTACTTTTTGAGACAGGCTCTCTGTATATCTTTGTCCTGGAATAACTCTGTAGACCAGGCTGTCCTTGAACTCACAGAGATCCTCCTGTCTCTGCCTCCCCAGTGCTGGGATTAAAGGTGTATGCTACCACACCTTGAACTCACAGAGATCTGTCTGTCCCTGCCTCCCAGGCATTGGGATTAAAGGTGTGCACTACCACACCTTGAAGTCACAGAGGTCAACTCCCTCTGCCCCTTAAAGTCTCAGAGGTCAACGTACCTCTGCCTCCCAGGCATTGGGATTAAAGGTGTGTACCCCACACCCTATTTCTCCCTTTTTTTTTCTTTTTAATGACTTTAACCTTTAGCCTGTATATATTTTTAACACATTGTAAACTCTTTAGAGGTTTTTTTCCTCTTTGAATCTTTCTTTACTGTTTATCTCCCTTTTCTGACCACATGAGCCTTTAATTTACTAAGCAATATGGAGAGCAGTGGCTTTGACGGCTAGATCCAACCCACTTCCCAGCTCTCCAGTCTCATGGCTGAGATACCAGCCAGAGCTATGTTCATTGCCACAACTCTATGGCGTTTCAAGGTCCTTGCTAGCAAGCAAGCTGCAGCATTCTGCTCACAGACCACACTCAGTCGGACTGCCTGTCTGAAAGAGTCAGAGATTGCCCTGGCAGGACAGCCCAGAAAGCCGGCATTTTAAAACAGCGCAGCGTTTTTCCTGCTACGACTGAAAACCGAAAAGCATGCGTTCAGCTTTTCATCAATACCATTTAAGTGTTTCGCGGCAGGACCTCTTAAAGGAGCTACAAAGTTTTGCAGCTAAAGCTGAGTTAGGAAGCCTCTCTTAGATGAGAGCATTTGCTTGCCTCTAGCAAGCAGAGCAGACCTGAGATATTGCTGCTACCAAGAAGGCATGATTTACTCTATTCTTTCCCAAGCTTTCTCAAGCTTTCTGTGGATTCAGTTATCCACGTCTGGGCGCCATATGTAACATGAGGGCCGGCTTGTTGGGGTTTCTGTCCAGCCCAGTACCCCAACAGCCGGCAAGCAACAAAGAAAAATCACGCACAAGACTCCATAAGGTTATAAACTGATTGGCTCATTAGGTCAGGCTACTTATTAGCTCTTATAACTTATGTTACCCCATTATTCTTATCTACGTTAGCCACATGGGCTCATTACCTTTCTCAGTGTGACAGCTTACATGTTGCTTCTTCCGTGGTCTGCACAGGAATGGCAGAGGAACCTCTCTGCTTCCCAGAATTCTCCCAGTCTCTTTGCTCCACCCCTACTTCCTGTCTGGCTTTCCCGCCTATACTGCCTGCCTGGCCAATCAGCGTTTTATTAAAATATGATTGACAGAATACAGATAATTCTCCCGCACCAGGCTAGAGATGTAGTTGAGGAGTAGAGTGTTTGCCTAGCATTCACAAGGTCCTGAGTTTAGGACAAAGCGCCACCAAAACTCCTCCGAAAACTCAGCATCTGTTGGTTTCAGATTCGGTGAACAGATGGGATTCTTGCCATCGGAGGGTTGGAAGCTCAGTGGGAGAGGCAGGCATCGAACAGGTAAACACGTGAATGAGTAGATAATTGCCGATTATTACCAATGCGTTTTATTTCTATTTATGTATTCATTCAACCATCCACTCAGCTAGCAATTCAAACAAGAGAAATAATAACAGTTAGCAACAGTTCAGAATGGCAATGCCTCTCAGTGCCCCAAAAGGTGAATGGTTTGGGAAGGCCAGAGGTGGAACAGACTCGGGCAGGGCAAACTGTGTCTAATGCTTTACTTCCTTCTGCGGGTAAGTGGGTAACTTTACTGAATCAGGTGGGGTAAAAGGAATTGTGAGTGTGTGTGTGAGTGTGTGTGTGTGTGTGTGTGTGTGTGTGCATGTGTGTGCTGGGGGGCCTGGTCAGTTCAAATCTTGCCTCTGCCATTTTTAAGCTGGTTGGGTGACCTTGGACAAGTTATTTCTTTCAACTCTCAGTTGTCCCATCTGGAAGACAGAAACGATCACATCTCTCGCTTTATAGACTTGTTGTGAAAAATTAAGTGAAATAACATTCTGAAGTGCTTACCAAGGCTTGGCATATGGTAAGTGTCAATAAATTACTATTATTGCTATTATGATTATCCTCAAGCGTCTTTATTACCCCCAGGCTTTGACACAGTTTGTTCCATCTGCCTGGATCGCACCCTGTTTCCTGCATTCATTCACACTTGCCTTCCAGGTAACACCTGAGATATATTTCTCTGGGAGAACGTTCCTAGCTTCTAGATCAGTAGCACATGTGAAAAACACCATGTGAGGCCTTTTAAGGCAGTTCAAGGGGCAAAGCCCTGCACATAGGCCTAGCAACCTGAGTTAATCCCTGGAACCCATGTAAAGGTGGAAAGAGAGAACTGAGGCCACCAAGTTGTCCTCTAGCCACGTTGAACACCCTCTGATTGCTGCACACTCATTGGGGTACACACATGCTACTATACTGAAACATACATGGTGGTTTAAAGGAGGATGGCTCCATATGCTCATTTGAATACTTGGTCCCAATCGGTGGAACTCTTTGGGAAGGATCAGGAGGTGTGAACTTGTTAAAGGAGGCATGTCACTGGGAGTGGGCTTTGAGGTTTCAAAAGCCCACACCATTCTCAGTTAACTCCGTCAACTCTTTTTTTTTAAAAGTATTTATTTAATTATTATGTATACAATATTCTGTCTGTGTGTATGCCTGCAGGCCAGAAGAGGGCACCAGACCTCATTACAGATGGTTGTGAGCCACCATGTGGTTGCTGGAAATTGAACTCAGGACCTTTGGAAAAACAGGCAATGCTCTTAACCTCTGAGCCGTCTCTCCAGCCCCTCCGTCAACTCTTGTGTCTGTCTCTGTGTCTGTATCTCTGCCTCATGTTTATGGATCAGATGTAAGCTCTCAGCTACTGTCCAAGACTATGCCTGCCTACTGTCATGCTTCCCACCATAATGGCTATGAACTCTGACCCTCTGGAACTGTGAGTGCCAAATTAAATGCTTTCTTTTCTAAGTTACCTTGGTTATGATGTTTTTTGTCTTCCAGTAGAAAGATAACTAAGACACACATGGGCACACGCATAATAAATAAAAACAATTTGAAATTACTGTGTGAGACAAAAGATATAGCTCATTAGTAGAGCTTTTGCCCAGCATGTATGTTTGAGGTCCCTGGGTTTATACTCCTCTCTTGCACACAAATGAATAAAATTTAAAAGGAAGAGTCTCTCTCTCTCTCTCTCTCTCTCTCTCTCTCTCTCATGTGTGTTCATGCATGTACATGAGTATACACTCATGCGATAACAAAACAGCTGTCAAACTTGATAAAGTGCCATGACCAGGTGATAGCACTTGGAGAAATGGAAACTGAAGGAGACACCCAGGGGCTCTCCTTCCTATCCACAACTTCTTTGTAAATCTAAAATTATCCCTCCCCCCCGAAAAGTTATTTTAAAATGAAGATTCTGTGCCAAACCACAGTGACATGTCATTTCATACTATCAAAAAGAAAGGAAGGAGAGAGGGAAAAAACCAATCTCAGAAAATAACAAGTATTAGTGAGGATATGAAGAAATTGGAAACCGTGCAGTTGACAGGAATGTTAAATGACAAGGTTTCTTTGGAAAACATGGTATGTTTTCATATAAAATTTCATAAAAAATTAAAAACAGGACTGACAAGAAGGCTCAGATGGTAAAGGCACTTGCCACACAAGCCTGGGGATCTGAATTTGGTCCCTGGAGCTCTCAGAAAGGTGAAAAGAGAGAACCAATTTATGGAATTGTCCTCTGCCTCCATACATGCACTGTGACACTCCCTTCCCACACACACAGTAAGTGAATAAAATTTTGAAGTTAAAACGGTCAACTTTAGTTCATGTGTATTGTACCCATGTATTTATTCTTTCAGTCACTCCTGGGTTCTGTCTTCATATCTTTTGATTCAGTACAGCAATAAAAAAAGTTGATCCCGAAGTCCATGTCAAATTGCAGGGGCCCTATAAAGTCAAAACAACTTTGAAAAAGAATAAGTTTAGAGGACTCATACTTGCTGGTTTCAAAGCTACAATTGCCACAAGAGTTTGATACTAGATTAAGGATAATACAGCTACCAAGATGATAGAATTGAAGCATGCATGTTCACTCATGCCTTTAATCCCAGCACTTCAGAGGCAGAGACAGGTGGATCTCTGTGAGTTTGAGGCCAGTCTGTTCTTCATGGCAAGTTTTTTTTTTTAAAAAAAAAAAAAGAAAAGAAGTTTGAGGGCTCAGGAAAAAAGCTCTCATACAACCGTGGCCAACAGATTTTTAGTTCCAAGAACAAATGATTCTTTTATGGTGCTGGGACAACTGGATATCTATATGCACGAACACACACGCACACACACACACACAAAGTTAGAGGTTGGGCAATGATAACAAAGCCATAATCTCAGCAATTGGTAGGCTGGAGTAGAAAAGTCTCAGTTCAAGGCTAGTCTAGGCTATGTCAGGACTTAATTTCAAAACCAAAAACACATAACAAAAATCCCATAAATTGGTACCCCTGTTGTGATGACTAATTTTGATTGGCAGTTTGGTTGACTGTAGGAGCAGCTAAGAGACATACTTCTGGGTGTCGTCTACGAGGGTGTTTTCAGAGTGGCTTAATGGAAAAGGACAGCCCCACCCTGGCTGTGGCCAACACCATTCCACAGGCTAGAGTCTCAGACTGAACGGAAAGGGGGAAGCCAAGCAGCAGCGTTCACCCCTCTGACTCCTAACTCCAGGCCACTCCACAGTCCTGCTGCAGCATTCTCCCTGCTAGAGCGCACTGTGAGCCCAGAAAAGTCCTTCCTCGAGGGGCCTTTACCAGATACTTCGTCACGGCGTTGTCTCAAGAAGTAACTGTTCACCACCTGACACCATGCCCAAGAATTAGCTAAAGAGTTTCCAGGTGGCTGGACACTCCTGGAGAGGGCGTGGGTGTTCTACCTCCCTGTCCACATGCCTTGACCCTTCTTTTGCTTCCACACAACTGTTTGTATGTATCCTTTAATATACTGGGTGAGTCATAGACAGGTAAACCTTATATGTCCGTATGGTATTCCTCATCAAGCATTTGGCTTCTACCAGAACCCAGAAACAAATTTGGAAACTGGTTTCTCAAAGTATGAACACGGTTGTGTCAGAAGACATGTCTGAATGGGGAGGTGGTGACACACACCTTTATCCCAGCACTCGGGAGGCAGAAGCAGGTGTATCTTTGTGAGTTTGAGGCTAGCCTGGTCTATACAGAGAGTTCCAGAATGACCAGGGATACACGGAGAAACCCTGTCTTGAAAAACCAAAATAAAACAAGAAGAAGAACAAGAAAAGAGTATATCTACAATTAGAAGAAGAGATATATCAGCATCTTCCTCTCAGGGATTTCCAGATGGTCCATGAGTATCCCTATCTGCAGCAGACACTTGGGGTACTGTTGAATTGGTGGTCACAAGACCAAGCAAGAAAGCAGCTTACAGTATTCCTATATTAGCTTCAAAACCTTTCCTGTTCCAGGCCTGTGCTAGTCTCCTACTGATGTGTAACAGGTTGTCACAACTTAGTGGTGATAACAAAAACAAACCAACAAAAACCTTAACTCTCCATGGAACTAAATCTAAAAGCAAGAACTATCAGACCTCTGGGACTAACACCCGAGGGTACATTTTCATGACCGTTAAGTTTAATGATGGTTTCTTCTCTTTCCTTTCTTCTTGTCCTTTGAGACAGATTCTCGCTCACCCAGGTGAGCCTCTTACCTGCCCTCACAATAGAAATGCGAATGCCTCGCTGGCAACGGTTTCTTAAATATGAGGCCGACACTGCAAGCCACCAGGCCAGTGAGATGACTCAGAGGGTAGAGTGCTATCTGCACTGAGCTTGATCTCCAGGACCCACGTGGTGGAAGAAGAGAGCTCATTTCCACAGGTTGTCCTCTGATCTTCACATTTGGGCTGTGGCACATACCTGCCCCTCGATCAGTCAATATAATAATACCAATAATAATAAACCATCGTCAAACCACAAGCTGGGGTAGCAGTGTTGCCTGTAATCTTAGTATTTGGGATGCTAACACGGGAGGATTTTAAACTCAAGGTTATCATGGGCATATAGTGAGATTATTCATAAATAAATAAGTAATTAAATAAATAAATAAATCTGGGTGGCAACAGCACACGCCTTGAATCCCAGCACTCGGGGGGCAGAGAGAGACAGGTGGGTCTCTGTGAGGTCGAGGCCAGTCTTGTCTGCAAAGTGAGTTCCAGGACAGTCTCCAAAGCTACATAGGAACCCTGTCTCAAAAGATCAAAATAAATAAATAAACAAATATGCACATATGTAAACAACAAAGGAAAAATACATAGACTACATTAAAATGTCTTTGTTCAAAATGTTTGTATAAATAAATACCATCCAAAAAGTTAAAATAAAAACCTTTCGATTCTAATTGCAAATCGTATATCATCCAATGAACTTCTGGTATTCAGAATATATTATTCCAACTCAACAATATAAGGACAACTCAGTTCAAGTGAGCAAAGGATTTGACTAGGTATCTGTTTTAGTTACTATTGTGAAGAGACACCATGACCAAGGCAACTTACAGAAGACAGCATTTCATTGGGGCCTTCCTTACAGTTTCACAGGGTTAGGCCATGATCATCATGGCAGGGAACATGACAGCAGGCAGGCAGGCATGGTGCTGGAGCAGTAGCTAAGACCTTATATCTTTTCTACAGTCACAAGGCAGAGAGCAAACAAGACTGGGCCTGGTGTGATGGGCTTTTGAAACCCACCACACATCTCCTCTAATAAGGACACATCTCCTAATCTTTCCTAAACAGTCCTCCAACTGCTTACCAAATATTCCAATGTATGAGCCTAGGTGGGCCATTTTTATTCAAACCAATACAGTATCCCTCCAAATAAGATAGATAAATGGTCATCAGATACATGAAAAGATGCTCATAAGTACTGGTCACTATTGAGATGCAGATCAGAGACACATTGCGTTACTGCCTCACATCACATTGTAATTATGACTTGTGTAGGAGATTGTTGTCTTGTTTGCTTGTGGCAAAGTTTTGCTATGTATCCCAGACTGGGCTCCATCTTATGGTCCTTCCTTATGTTAGATGACAGTTACAGTTAATGGGAATTGCAAGTGTTGGCAAGAATGTGAAGGTAAGGTTGCTTGTGCGTTCAAACAGAAGCCATAGTGGAACAGCGAAATAGTCGACAACCAAAGTGCTTTGGTGACTCTTCAAGAAGTTAATATAGAGCGGGGTGTGACAATGCACACCTGCAGTCCTGACAGCTGGAAAGTGGAGGCAGGAGGACAGGGGAGTTCAAGAGTTCAAGACCAGCCTGGGCTACATGAGACCCTGTCTCCAAACAAACAAACAAACAAATAAACAAAATGCCCCCAAAAGCTAGATAAAGAATTGCCATATAACTCAGCAATTACATTATTGGATGTGGACCCAAGAGAATTGAAAACACCTAATCAAACAAAGTATGTTATAGAAGATTATCTGCAAATCATTCACCCAATGAGATTTCGATGTAAGAATGTTCGTAGCCATGGGGTCCAAATGTCCAACAGTGGATAAAGGGCTAAAATAATTCAACAATAAAAAGAAATGAAATATTGACTAATCATATAGATATACCTCAAAAACATATGAAGGAAAAGAAACCAGATATGAACCACATACTGCTTCG